CTGGCCTGCCCACCTTTCCCAGGTACTCACCTGCACACACAGGCCATTTCTTTTTTGTTTTTAAATCCTTTTATTAGGGGCTCATACAACTCTCATTACATTCCATACATACATCAATTGTGTAAAGCGCATTTGTACATTCATTGCCCTCATTCTCAAAACATTTCCTCTCCACTTAAGCCCCCGGCATTAGGTCATTTTTCCCTCCCTCCCCGCTTCCCCCTCCGTCATGAGCCCTTGATAATTTATAAATTGTTATTTTGTCATATCTTGCCACACAGGCCATTTCTAAGAGTGGAACATCCATCTCTTTGCCTGGGGATCCTCAGAAAACAGGAATTCAGCCACTGTTAGTGTTTATAAACCCTGAGTGGATTACATCTGCTCGCTCCTTAAAGGACAAGTCTTCACTATTTTGAGTGCCTATTGGATTTGTTTTCAGCGGCTGTGGTGACAGCTTTTTCCCTATGTTCTGAACTCCTTTCTGAGTCCCTCCTAGAGGCAGTTGCTTCCATTGTTTCCGTGGGTACTTTTGATGTAGGAAAGGAACGGCAGGGGAGGAGCAATGGCAATGGTAGAGAGAGGGGTGGGACTAGCGATGGTACCTGAGGGGTCGTCAGGCCACGGATGAGCTGAGACACGGGGTGCATGGATTGTTGAATGTAAAACTGATGATCTGCTTTGTGAACCTTCCCCCAATTCACAATTTAAAAAGTGCCTTTTTATTTAGGAAAAAAAAAGAAATTTAAAAGAAAGGGAAAATGTAAGTTGCTAAGGGCCTGTTCTTTGCCAGGCGCTGTGTGATCAAACTTCTGGGCTGGGGGTCACTCCCCAAAGTCACTGGGGCTGGGGCTGGCTTTTATTACACACACCGCTGCCAACACACTCTGCTTGGAATGGAGGGTGGCAGAAAACTTGGCCCCTCCCTATGATTATGGGTTAGAGATGAAGTCCACTAGACACGCCTGGGGTACTATAATACCCCAATGCTGACATCCAGACTTTTCAGGACTGAAGGTTTGGGCCACCCCGTCAGGCAAAGAACCACAACAGCCTAGGTTCCCATGCAAAAGAAACGTCTACACGACCAGTTGCAGAAATGAGGATTGTAATTGTTATGAGTAACTCCTATTTGTATGCACTAAACATTTTTGTTTTGTTCACTAATAAAATATAAGATGAAAACGGGGTCAGTGCTTTTGGGGTTGTATCGTGTTAGGCGCAAGTATGATTCTCTTTTTGTCTTGATTCTGGTTAAAGAGTTGTGTACCGGTGTCAAGTTGACAAGGAGTGGCCTGTTACAGAGATTATGCCAAGTGAACACACCGGGGTAAGGGTAAGCCCAAGCTATGAGTCAGGTGGAAGCCTGGCGGCTCCCCCTTAGAATATAGCCATTTGTATAAGAGAGTCTGAGCAGAGCCAATTTCTCTTTGGCCCTTCTGCTTCTGCTAGAGATGAATCTGTTTCTGATTCCTCAGTCTCCTTGATGTCGCCTGGAAATCCTAAATTGTCAGCACACTACCAATGGTGGATTCATTTAGCCAACATTTGATTCATTTACCTCTGCATCCACCAGCCTGCTCCTCCCCTCCTTACCTCTGCCTCCTCATCCGGCATCCTGTCTGTCACCTTCCATAGCTACGCAAGTCAGGAGAAACCTGACTACTTACCTACTTCTATAACTGTGAGCCGTTTCTCAGTGTAACTCTCTATGTGCAAACATATATAAGGGTCCCTGGTTTTTGCTTCCCTAGAGAATCCAACCTAACGCACTACCCACGGAAGCATGGAGACTTTTGTTGTTGGCCGCGCTCTCTGTTTCAGCACCAACCACGCAGCAAGGAAGTGCAGGTTGCGTGGTCTGATGCAGAGCTCCTTGTTGGGTGGCAGGAAGCTTTCTGAGCTTTCCTCCTGCAACCACGCAGTTATATCTCTTGTTCCTGCAGGGAGAGCCCGCCTCAGAGAGCAGGCCCTCTGTTACCACCCGCCAGAGCACTCCTGCTGGCTCCACAACTAATTATCAACCCTTGCACACTGCCAGCTTTAGTGTGGGACTCTGGGTCCCCAAAACTGTATATTCCCTGCCTTTCATACTTGCTTATTATTCCTGCCCTTTGGTACATATCACCTTTATCAAAGAGTGAAGAGTCACTTTTACTAGGGTGTAAATGTCTAAACAGGCTTTACCTCCCACACTGCATGTATTCCTTTGTGATAAGTATGAATCTCAAAGGATCCACTGTTGAGCAGTTGCTTTTCTGATCATGGAAACCTCTATTGGTGAAGTACCCTGTCTCATCATCCAGCTTCCTTGGCCCCGGCCCCGGCACATCAGAAAAGCCGAGGTCGGCGACTGAGCTCCTGCATTGCCTTCTCTGGGAGGACTCCAGAACCTGCTCTGGTCCTCGCTCTAGCTGTTGACCTTGTGGGATCTCCTTTCCTTTCTGCAAGGTGGAACTCGCAGGTTTTTTGTTTTTTAAGGATTCCAGTGAAATAGAGCCAGCTGTACAAATACAGGGGAGCCTGGGACCGCGTCCTCAGCCTAGGGCCAGCAAGCAGGCTCCCATTAATGCCACGCTGTGACCTTCCCCAAGTAGGCTTCACCTTATGATGCTTACGCTGTTCTCTGACAGCATCAAGAGATGATTTCATTTTAAATGGTCCTGTTGGGCCCAAATGCGTTGAACTTCTAGAATGGCAGGCAGGCAGGCAGGAAGGCTAAAAAACAAAACAAAACGGAAACCAAACTCACTGCTGTGAGTCACTGCTGACTCATAGTGACCCCACCTGACAAAGCAGAACTGCCCCATGCGTTTCCAGAACTGGAACAGTTTACAGACATAGACAGCCTCGTCTTTCTCCCCGCAGAGGCAGAGCGGCTGGTGGTTTCAAACTGCTGACCTCTCAGACTGCAGCCCAATGCATAACCATCGCACCCCAAGGGCAACTTCAGAAAGGCTCGGTCGTTTCTATTTATGTTTTAGGAGGTGCTCGGGAGTCACTGTGTGTACTTCCTTGACTACCACTGTAGCACCTTCCTCCAGCCGAGTCTCTAACTCTAGATGTTACTCATTTGACAAGGGAAAGTGGACGGGGCGCTTGGCAGGCAGGCAGAGGCTCCTTGCTCTCTGGCCGCTTAAGCTCGGACCCATGCAGGCGGACGTGGTGATGGTTCCTGGGCGGAGTCACAGGACCACCTTTTCCAGAGCGAGGCTGGCATGGTGGCCATGCCCACCCTAGGCAGGGCACATGCTGGGCAGATGGCGCACGCTGGAGAAGTGGACAGGAAAAACAGATGGGAATTCTATTGTGAGCTGGAAGGATGGAGGAGAGAGGGTAAAGATTTCTGTAACTTCAGCCCAAAATGTTACTTCTCCGACCTAGGGGAAACTTGACAATGTCTGCCTCTGTTGAGCATAGCCATCCCCTCGACAGCAAAGGGAAACTTATGTTTAAAGAATTGGGCGAGTATTCCACAAGAGGACGAGAGATCCAGAAGCAGGTGACTCGTGGTTTAAGCCACTGAATACAAAGTTGATCAGCTGAATGTAAGCCCCACCCAGTTTTACCGTTTTTAAAAAATTGTGTAAGTGAAAAAATTTAAAAACCACTTTCCTGCCTCAAAATCTCTATTGAGGAAGATACCCCAACTCAGTGGCGCTAAGGTCTCAATTTTCAAGTGGGATTGAAGAGGGGCGTCAGCTCCAAATGCATTTGAGTAACAAATTCAGCCCTGATTCTTTCCGGTGTTAGACCTGGGGAGCCTTACTTCCTCTCCTGGCGTCGCTGGGGGAATTTGGGTTGCTTCCATCGGGTTAGGTGGTTGTTGGATGGATGACTGGGAACCATTTTGCAGTCAGGGGGTCCTCCGACATACAGGAGAAGTAAAGCCAGGTGGCCTTTCAGAGAGGGAAATAAGATGCCGGGTGCAGACAGCAGCTGCGGCCCCTGTTCCTGAGGAGGCAGTGCGCCGGTTGCTGCGTCCTGCCAGGCGCTGAGCCGGCTCCCTTTGGGTAGACAGCACGCAAAGACATCGGCAGGGCGACACTAATTCATCTTGGGATTACCAGGACTTCCTCTCACCTGCTAGGGGTTATCTTCTCGTGCCCAATCTATTTCTTTCCTCCTAACGCAGGACAATCGCAAAGATCCGGAACACTGGGAAGAAAAGCTAGCATTAGCTTTTCCCCCGCTCAAACAGTTCATTATAAAAATTTCCAGGCATCCACCACAGTTCAAAGAGCTGGACATAGCCCCCACCTAGCCTCTGCCATTCACAAGTTGCTGTACTGGCTTACTGCGTCCCTGATTGGAAATTGACTTTTCAACGTAAATTGCAGACATCACAGCATTTCCTGGGGCTCATTTTAAAGCGATGGTTTGAGCAACCTGGCTTCCCGAGAGCTGCCTGGCGTTATTTCTCGGCGGCATGATGGTCTCCAAAAGCATTCCGCCAGACCCTGCCTGCCTTTGTGATGGCCCTGCTGCTGTGCCTGCATGTGCCCCAGGTCTGAAGGGTCACCACGGGTCCTGCCCTCACTGTGTGACACACTCCCACGCTGTACAGTCGTGGTGCTTTATGTATACTGCCTTTTCTCCCTTTTTTATTTTAATTTGTTTTGCCACCGAACATATCTTACCACTTGGCCATGTTAGCTATTTTTTCAAAAATCAGATGATTTGGATTGGACTTGATGGCACTGCGTTTGTTTGTTAATATTCTACATTAACAACTACTGCAGTTGTATAAAGAGATCTCATAATTCTAATAGCGATCAAAAGTACCCAGACACACAAGATCATGTGATTGTGTGCTCTGCATGTACCTTGTCAGTGAACCACTTTGCATTCGGATGTGTGGCACACAGCACTGTGTCTAGCGCTGACAGTCATCGATGTACGCACTCCTTTTGGTCTGCAGGTACACACCTGCCCGTAAGGAAGCAGTGCGCTGCCCACGGTGCTAGGGCTGCCGTCCTCATGTGCTCTTTCTTCCACAGAGCCGAGATGGCGGTCCTCTCCAAGGAGTATGGTTTCGTGGTTCTCACTGGTGCTGCCAGCTTCATCATGGTAGCTCATCTGGCCATCAATGTTGCCAAGGCCCGCAAGAAGTACAAGGTGGAGGTGAGTGGGGCGCACGCTGTCTCATCTGTACTCTTGTCTGGGGCCGTGGCGATGTGTTCAAGAGCCGGTCGTCTATTGGGGATAGGGAGGGGCATGCAGAGCTAGTTGTCACCAGTGGCAACTTCAGAAGTAAAACTATTTACAGTGCTGTCCTTTGAATCATATCATTGTGAATGGGGGGTGGTGGTGGAGTGGAGACCCAAAGCCCATCTGTAGTTTACTGGACATCCCCTTACAGAAGGGTCGCGGGGAGGAGACGAGCCAGTCAGGGTGCAGTCTAGCACCGATGAAACATACAACTTCCCCTAGTTCTTTAATGCTTCCTCCCCCCCACTATCATGATCCCAATTCAGTTTACAAATCTGGCTAGACCAGAGCACATACACTGGTACAGATAAGAGCTGGAAACATAGGGAATCCAGGACAGATAAACCCCTCAGGACCAAAAATGAGAGTAGTGATACCAGAAGGGTAAGGAGAAAAGGAAGTGGAGAGAGGAGGAACCGATCACAATGACTGCATATAACCGCCTCCCTCGGGGACGGACAACAGAAAAGTGGGTGAAGGGAGATGTTAGACAGTGTAAGATATGACAAATAATAATTTATATATTATCAAGGGTTCATGAGGGAGGGAGAGCGGGAGAGGGAGGGAGCGGGGAGGAACTGATACCAAGGCCTCAAGTAGAAAGAAAATGTATTGAGAATGATGATGGCAACAAATGTACAAATGTGCTTAACACAAAGGATGAATGTATGCATTGTGATAAGAGTTGTAGGAGCCCCCAATAAAATGATTTTTTTTTTTAAATAAAATGTTGTCCTTTGTGGCAGAAAAGAGGCAAGAAATATGGGGCCCTACAGGGGGCGAGCACCTCTGGGTGACTGTGAAACACCTTCCTTTTGTTTCTAAGGGATTTTTACTCTTACATTTGCCTTGTTTTATTTTTAATTTTAACAGTTTTATTGACTTAAAATTCACATATCTTGCAATTCAATGGCTTAAACATCTTTAAAAGAGTTGTATAGTCATATGCAAATATATTTATATATGATGATGGGGAAATAGATCTATGTGCATATATTTATAGGTTTAATATTAAGGTAGCAGAAGGACATTGGGCCGCTACTAAAGTATTTATAGGTTTAGTATTAAGGTAGCAGAAGGACATTGGGCCTCTACTTAAGTACTCCCTCAATGCAAGAATACTTTCTTCTATTAAATTGGCATTC